TGCGCATACAAAAGTGGCACGCGAGCGCAATCCCGCAGCTTGGCTGAAACTTTGCCAAGTCTCTGCGCGCAAAGGTCGCGCGCGAAGCGCTCTTGCAGCTCCAGCTCAAAACAGTTTTCAAGCGCAGAAACAATCTTCGGAGAGCGCGCTCCATCATGCCCAGCTTGCAAGTTGGGCCTGTAAAGCGCAAAAGAAACACACAAGTTGTACTTCCGCATCTCCAGCCTGAAAATCTCTAAAACAGCCAGCCTTCTGTGCGATCCGGAGGATTCGCGTGTGCTTGAAACTTGCGTTTTTAGCTGGAGCTGGGGGGAGTGCGTCGCGTGTTAGTTTTAATTTTGTGTTCGAAACTTGCAAAGTTTAATCCTGAGCTGCAACGCTCTTCGCGCGCTGGTTGCGCACGTGGAACTTGTGTTTTCAGCCGGCTCGAGCTGAAGGGACTGCGCTTTGCGCGCCACTTTTGTACCCAAAACTTGCGACTGCGCAGCTAGAGTTGCGGCGACACAGTTTCCGCACTAGATGTGAGCCGTAGGAATGCACTTTTGTGCTTCAAGTTTGCGATTTCTCCGAAATGCTCCGCGTCTACTTTTCCGCTGCGCAGGCTTTCAGCCGGCGCGCATACTGCTCTTGGTGCGAGTTTCAGGCCGGAGCTGCAGGAGCGCGCTTCGCGAGCGAACCACGAGACAGCCTCCAAAGACCATTCGCGAGCGCCGACATCAAGCAAACATGGCGCGCGCCGCCGCGGTCAAAAAAATCGCAGTGAGAGCGCGCGCGATCTCCAAGGGTTTGTCACGGTCAAGCAAACTCGCAGCGCCGCATCAAGAGCGCGTTAAGACGACGCAGCGCTAGGGGCTTTCCCGACTCTTCCACTTGCAGGCTTGCCGCGAGGGCCTGCGCCCGCACGGGCCCGAAGTTCAACTACTTTGGCAGTCTATCACGACGCCCAAAAATTTCAGGCCTTGCCGGGGGGTTTGCTTCCAGGGACTTTTCGGGCGCTCGTCTGCGCCGAAAGCAAGAGCGCTCGCCGCGTTCTTGCGCTAGGCGGCCGTAAAAACACGTTTTTCGATTTGCTGCAAAGAGTTCGCAGCCGAGCTCTGGAGGCGCCTCAGAGCCTTGCGCCCCGCAAGCCGCAAGCTTATTTCGGCAAGCCTGCGACGTTCGAAATTTCCATTGCGAAACTCCGCCCGCTGGCAAGAGGCCTCGGGGGCGAAGGACGGTTTTGGCCGTCGAGCCGATTTGCTCTGGGGAAGCTTTCGAGCGCTCGAGCGCGCCGAAAGCAATAGCGTTCGCCGCCCGCGTTCTTTGAACGTCCAGGGACCTTTCGGGCGCTCGACCGCGCCGAAAGCAGTAGTGTTCGCCGCCCGCGGTTTTGCCAGCTTTCGGGCGATTGTCTGCGCCGAAAGCAAGAGCGCTCGCCGCGGTCTTGCGCTAGGCGGCCGTAAAAACACGTTTTTCGATTTTCTGCCAAGAGTTCGCAGCCAGGCTCTGGAGGCGCTTAGAGCCTTACGCCACGCAAGCCGCAAGCTTATTTCGGCAAGCCCGCAACGTTCAAATTTTCTGTCGCGAAACTCCACCCGCTATGCAAGAGGCCTCGAAAGGCGGTTTTGGCCGTTGAGCCGAGCGACGGCGTGAGTTTCTTACTGCCCGCAGATTGAAGACTGGCAAGGCTGTGGCTGTTCAACAACGCCCAAAAAAAATTCTGGCCTTGGGCGGGGGCTTTGCTCTGGGGAAGCTTTCGAGCGCTCGAGCGCGCCGAAAGCAACAGCGTTCGCTGCCCGCGTTCTTTGAGCGCGCGGCGCGCAAGCCGCAAGCCTATTTCGGCAAGCCCGCAACGTTCAAATTTTCTGTCGCGAAACTCCACCCACTATGCAAGAGGCCTCGGGGGGCGGTTTTGGCCGAGCGACGGCGTGAGTTTCTTACTGCCCGCAGATTGAAGACTGGCAAGGCTGTGGCTGGTCAACAACGCCCAAAAAAAAATCTGGCCTTGGACGGGGGCTTTGCTCTGGGGAAGCTTTCGAGCGCTCGAGCGCGCCGAAAGCAACAGCGTTCGCTGCCCGCGTTCTTTGAGCGCGCGGCCGCGCTTAGCGAGGACGGCTTCGCGCTGTACAGCGCCGGCCGAGCGGCAGCTGCCGAGACCAGGCAGCGGCCGAGCAGCTGAGCTGTGAGACACACTGTCTGATCTGACGGTGTAACCTTTTGCGGGAGGGAAAAGCCTCCCGCTGGCCGCTATACAGCTTTATCGGCGTGAGCCTGCGCCAAGCTTGCGGCCCCCCGGCAAGGCATCCAGGGGACACACGTGGGCGCCGCCCGTGAAGTTCGCCCTTGAGCGAAGCTCTATAGGATAATAACCTAAAGCCCATGATTTGTGCCAGCGGCGTGCCTTTTACATCGCCTCCTTCCCACTCCTAAACAACCTTCAACATAGCCAGCGGACGGCTGTCCGGCCGTTGATAAACTGCTTGTACGGCGCAAAAGCGGATCTACTCTCCGGAGCTCAAATCTAAGAAATTAATTGCTTTTCTGGCGTCGTAAATTGCTTGATGAATCGCTTCTATCCTTGGCTTCTCCAAAGATAGAATGGCTTCGAAGTGGCCAAATCCTTAGATCTGGAGCAAATCTTTAGCGTGGCCAACTGTCTGGCCGTTGATAAACTGCTTGTACGGCGCAATAGCGGATCTACTCTCTGGAGCTGAAATATAAGAGGCGAGGCCGGCCCCGATGGCCATTTTATCAAGGCCAGCAATTTTATCAAAGCCCCCACTTGGATGTTCGGCGGTGTTGCTATCTAGATGGCTTACATGACGCGCTATCTGCAGTTATATTTCCTCCAACATGAGTTATAAGTTGGTGTAATTCAGCCATCATGGACAGCACAAGATAGTAAGTAGCCAGTCTTAGGGCAAGTACTTACCATATAGGACAAACACATGGCTAACATTTAAGTTAAGATAGCTATATGTGGGACAAGGGATTTGGCGAACTTAAGTAATATATTTGGAAGACATAGCTAAGTGCGCCAAGGCATACTTAGTAAGTTCACCGCGGCCTACTTAGTAAGTTGACCGCGCCATACTTATATGTTTGCCGGGTATACTTAGCAAGCTCGCTAAGTAAGCCGAGAGGCGTGTTTGTTGGATGAATATCCACAACAATACTCACAAATCATATCGTGCAGCTAGCCACGAATGCTGGGAAAATATTTTGTTTTTGGTCGCGTAACAACGTGTATAAGCGCAACATGTATAGCTATATGCGTGCCCACATATGTTAAAAACACATTTTCCCCAACCTAATCCTCCCCTTTATATAAGCAACTGCGCGCCGCCCATACAGGTTTGTGAAAGGCAAACGCTGCGCGCCGGTTTGCGCGGCGGGGCCACTGCCAACGCAGGCACGGCCACTGGGATCGACAGGGGGGGGGGCAGCGTCGCCGCAAAAAGATTGGCAAAGCCACGGTTATATTACAACTCCCTATTTACACGCAAAGCTATAGCATAAGGAGTTATAACATGTGTGCTAGTTTTGCTCATGGGCTTTATATAACTTCCCCAAACCGTGCACTCTGACATTTGTTCGGCAAATATAGGACAAAGGCGTCCAATTTGACAGAGCGATTCTTGGAGATGTTTTCATTTTTGGCATGTGTATTTGCACGTGTGTCATCATGCCGCCGAACAACCATTTGCAAAAAGCATCTCCTTGCATAGATTTGCCATGGAAAACCCAAACGTACATCGTAGGAAAGTGTTTTGACCCCGTAGGCCGGGCTTGCGTGGGAACTTGAGCATAGTTTTCAGGGCTTGTGTTTGGGTGCATGAAACGTGTCACGGGCTTAACGTCTTGAGTTTCATTGCGTTGTGATTCGTCATGGGTCGTGGGTAGGTTCAAGTTGCTGGTATAGGGGATTGCTAGTTGATAATTCCTCAAAATGCAATGCATCATTGGGCTTGTTTGGGGGGCCACTGTTTCTAAGGGACCCGAACAAGAAACATTGGTTGCTTGAAGTGCATTTGTTGTATAGCTGTGAATCACGTGGCTGGGCATGAGAGCTCGCCTCTATATGCATGCTGGGCGTTAGCTCGCATGCCAAGCGTGCGCCGAAGTGTTTCGGCGCAATACTGAGACCACCACCTTGAGCCATGCAGTCGGCCGAGCAGGGGGACCACATCTTGAAGAAACGGCAGACTGCGCTGCAGTTCACAAAGGCCTCAAGCTTGTACCAGCAGTACAAGACGGAACCCACAGATGGACAACCAACGACCCCTCGACCGGAAGATGCAGGCAGCAAACGAGAGTGGGAGCGCCTCATGTATAGGTGGCGGTCTGCCATGAGAGATGCAGCCGCAAGGAAAGGATGTGCATGAGTCCATCCAAGCTGGCGACATGCCACCAATTAGAAGCGTGGACCTTGCCGCGCAACAGTCATTGGGAAAAAGGCAAGTGAATAGTTACACCCATGCATGGGGTCCAACAACCCTCCATTATAGGGAGTTTCTCATTGATGCCCTGATGCGATTGAGAAGGGTTGCGCACTCATGCTGAAGGCTGCTTGCGGGTTGTCAAACCCACGGTCACACGTAAGCCACATGCCCACATGTGCAGGGTCAACTGCAAGAATTTGCAATGTTTACCGGTGTTGGAACATGAAGGTCTAATCAGATCAGACAACGCTTTCTGGACCCGCCATGTAGGCAGGCCAAATGGCGCATGCGCGCAAGCCATTGTGAAGGCACTGCAGCTATTTGGGACAAGCTTTGATTTTGGTAGATAGCGAAATGATCACACCCGAGCTGTGTGCAAAGATTGAAGCCCACATCGCCAAGGCCGAAAGTGGGTCCATAGTGCAGTCTATGGCGGCATTGATGGTTGATTTGGAGACATTTGGCCTGCGGTATAGCAAATGTGTTTGCTTCCTGTATGGAATCTGAAAAGGAAGGGTCAAAGCCTGGATGTTGTTTTTTTAATGAGGGCATTCCTTAAGGCAACTGACGCCAGCTCAGGAATGCGCATCTCAGCTGGCGTGCTCGGCTGAAGCCAGAGTGGGTCGCGGTCCACCCGGCAAACCGGGACGGCTCCGGGGTGAGCCCAAGTTGCGTCCACCAGCTGGCTTCTGACATCTCGGAGTGCGGCTGGGACTGGGCCCAGATCCGGGCTTTGTGCGTGGAGCTCTCCCACAAGGAGATTCCCTTGGTGGTGAAGTTCAACCAAGAGCTTGATGCCCACGTCGATGACACGATGAAGCTGGCGCCCATCATCAAAGAAACCATTCGGTACGGATCTTTGAGTGCCTCGCACACCAACTGTGCGCTGAGGTTGTTTGCTGCCTCCTGCCTGCACGACGGCAACCCAGATCTTCTCGTAAAGGGCAAGCTTTCCCTTCACCAGCTCAGGGACAAGGACGCTGCATACGCTGACGCCGCCGAGAACGGCTTGACATGGTCCATAATCAGCTCCACTGTCATCACGCGCTACCCCGCCTTATGCGGCTTGTTGCAACAGGCCATGAACACCGGAGCGCAACTGCAGCGCCAAGAGGGCGAACTGCAGATATGCCTCCGCCTTTTGGGAGCCTGGCAGCAGGAGGCCAAGTCCAAGCCAGACACGCAAGTCCAATTCAAGGAGATCCGGAGCAAGGTCCTGCGCACCAAGCCCTCTTGCAGCAATGCTGCGCCATTCATGTATACCTTCATCCTCAGGTATGGAGGAGGGGCTGATGGCCAGTGGATTCGTGAGAGCGAGCAGTTTGTGAAAAGGGCTGGCGGTTCGCAGAGGCAGCTGGGCCCGGACCGCTGGGACAACTTGAGTTTGCCTGGCAAAGGTGGGGAGCATTTGCTTCGCCTTCGCCACGCTGCCCTGCGTGTGTCTTACATTGAGGAGAAGCCGTTGTCAGTCAGTGACCTTAGGAGACTGCTGAGATCGAACGATGCAGCTGCAGCAGAACAGCTGATGCAAGACGTTCGGGAGCTCGGTCGCATCACCCTGGCCTCCGACTTGCATCAGGAGGTGCTTCTCTTTGAGCATCAGATCGTCACACAGTTGCTGGACAGGACAGGGCGCCTGCCCAGCATGGAGCACGCCGCCCAGGCCTTCATCGTGAAGGTGCAGGAGAGAGGCGGCCCCTTGCTGACTGAGAAGTGGAGTGCCTTCACCGTGGAGAAGCCTGCTGTGGCAGGGCCGTCTCGCCCCGATTCAGCTGCCCCTTCAGTGATCCTTTGCTGAAAAACACGTTTTTCCAAGACGACCTAAATATGTATTGTTTTGGGATCCGTCCGCATTTTCGTTAACAGCACAGATGTGTGCGGCTGGGCCAAACAGCTCGCCAGCGCTGGGCTTTTAGGAAAGCTCGCGATTTGCTCTCTCGGGCCATCAGGATGCTGACGTACGACCGGCACGGAGAGCTTGCCGAATGCGAGGCCATTGTCAAAGAGCTAGGGTTCAATGCCGGGGACGCTGTCATGCGGCGCGCGGATAAAGTCGCGGCGACCATTTCCGGATTCACGCAGTCGCATGTGATTTTGCGCATCGAATCCGGTCTCATTTCGGGGACGGCGAAAGTCTTGGCCAAATCCTTCTCCAAGAAGGAATGGACCCACTGTGCTGCGAAGAAGGAGGTGGAGGAGGTGCAGGAGCCTGGGGCCCTCATAAAGGGGAGTTGCGCATGTTTCCAATTCGCCTTTTTTACTCCATTTGTTGGAGGGGTTTGAATCAGTTTTGGCCAACTGGAACTTGCAGGAGCACTGGCAGCACCGGATTGGCAGCCATGTGGAGTTTGGAGTGCTGTATCTCAAGGGCAAGATCACTGCTGCGTTGCTGCAGGAAGAGCTCAAGCACTTGGACACCTTGCAGCACTTGACCATCCAGGCTAAACCGTTCAAAAATGTGGTTGCGACCAAGAACTTTGCGACCAACAAGCTGGTCCTGGTGCCCATGACCACCCGCATCAGCACCCAGTTGCAGAAGTCGGGCGCACAGCTTCTGGGAGAGCTCATGGCTGGCCCAGAAGGCGGCCTTTCGTTTTGGTTGGTGCCGTGCTTTGCGGCGCCAAAGCCTCACCCAGAGGGCTCCAAGGGCATGATCGCGCCCTTCTGGCTGGTCCAGACAACTGAGCAACCAGACGAGGCCAACATGGAGGTGACTCCGGACCTGGGCTCCCACAACGAATCCGACAAGCTGATCCACCAGGTCACCATCAAGGTGCCCGTGATGAAGAACACGCGCGCAATCAAGGCTGGTGAGCAGCTCGTGGTGCACCGGAAGAAAGACACCAAGGTCCCAGACCTGGAGGAGATCATTCCCACGGCAGCGCCTATGAAGCGCCGACGTCTGAAAACTTCGGAGTAGATAAGCCACTCGTATTCACCCGTTGGCACCAGCCATATTTTTCTGAAGCATATGTGCAACACAACATGCAGTATTTTTAATCAGTGTTGCTATGCTTGCCTTGGCGGGATTGAGGGGCTTCTTGCAGTATATTTCTAGAAGGGCTGCCATTGCGCATGCGCCCACGCACTCACTGCTTTTGGTGGCATCGGCAAAATGATTCGTGGAAGCAGTGCCATGGAGGGACCGTTTTTGGCAGCCCTGTGTGTTTCTATTGTTCATTCGTCAGCCAAAGCTGTCAGGAACATCGAGCGTGTCATGTGCGGGAACTGGTGTTGCAATTAGGCTTCCCGGATTGATAGGCAGAGGCACCTAAACACGAAACCCAATCTTGTTCGCATTGGCGAGCATGTGCGCCCAGCCTCAGAAGCGAGCCAAGCCCAGCTTCAATGGAACATTGGCGAGCCACTGCCCAGCCAGGTCAGAGATGTCCATGGTAATTTGCTAAAGCTTGCCATCACTCAGCCTTGTGCTTGCTTGCATGGGCAGCAATCGTACTATTCATAGTTCGACACAACCAGTTTGTTGGAAATCGGACCCACCATCATTCCAAAAAACACACTGATGCAACTTGACGTTTGCAGAGAGTGAGAGAGAGAGAGAGAGAAAAATAATGCATCCGCAGTTCTCCAGTGGAGTGAACGTATCTTCGGCTGGGCTTCGGTGCTCGCCCGAACGAAGCTGGGCAAGTGCTCGCTTCCCGTCATGTCAAACGTGCAGATCGGGACCGTCTGGGTCATCACGAACAGTCACACTGTCAAGAACCCTTGGACTCCCGAAGTTCAGTGCGTGGAGGGCACCAACTTCATGAAGATCTACCGCTGGTCTCGAGATCTTACCCGCTTTGTTACCGGGAAGGCGTTGGACCTCCGCAAGGATAAGGGTCACTGGTTGGACGGCGCCTTCCTGGGCAAGCTCATTGCCGCCAGGGACCAGAAAAGCAAGGAGGCTTACAAGAGCGCAGTGATGCCAGAGCCCGAAGAAGGAGGTGTGCGGAAGGACGATGCAGCGGTTGTCAAATGCCTCTGGGGCGTGAAGTCCCATGACTTGTGGATCGAGATGTCGGATACGATCCTAGAGCACGTGAGGAGTGGCATTCTGGCTGAATTTTCGGGCCAGCAGGGCGCTAAGAAGCGCAGGTTCAAAGAGCCTGTGCCTGCTGAAGATCAGGGGGAAACTTCTGCAGAGTCAAGGTGAGTTTAGTCATGGTTTACGTTTTCAACCCCAATCATTGGAAGCTGCGTGTGGACCATGTTTGGCAATGTGTTTTAAAAAAACACTTGGGCAATGCCTTGACTTGAGAGAAGCCTCTTTTCATCTTTGCCATAGGGGCGTGCAAGAACAAGGTGGTGCGCGAAATGTCTCATTTGCAGGGCATGACGCCTTAATTTGCTGGGAGTGCAGAATGCCGACAGTGGTGCGTCCGGAGGAAACCTGATACAGCTGCTTCTTGAGACCAGTGTTGTGGCAAAGACTCTTACCGGATCTTTTTTGGAGGTTGTTGTTGATGCGATTGTTTTCAATATCATTAGTGTTGATGTCGTTTTTGCTGCGCTTGATGTTGATGTCGTTGTTGAAGATGATGTTGATGCTAGAATGCTGATATTGATGTGGTTGGTGCTGATGCTGATGCCGACGTTGATGTTGGTGTTGTTGCTGTGGTTGCCGTTAACGGAATTGATGCTGATGTATACGTATTGCGGGTGTTGCTGTCGCCGTTGTTTTTTTTAATGCGTTGTTGCGCAAGGCAAGTTGTGTTGTTGGCCGTGATGTTGAGGTTCACGTTCATATCGTTGTGGAAAATGTTGTCGAATGTTTATATATGCATGCGTATGTGGACATCCTTGGATGTATGTATGCATGTTAACAGCAACAGCAACAGCAACAGCAGCAGCAACAGCAAAACCAACAGCAACAACAACAACAACTGCAACAACTACAGCAAGTACAACAACTATAGAGCTTACAGCAGGAACGATGACAAAACAACAGCAACAGCAACAACAGCAACTTCAGCTTCAACATCAACATAATCATCAGCAACACCAACAACAACCAGGACAACAAACAGCGACAACATGCACAACAGCATCAACACCAACATCACCTTTAACAACTACATCAACAACAACAACAACAACACTCACATCAAGCAGTTGATAAAGCTGCTAAAACTGTTGTTGTTGTTGTTGTTGTTGTTGTTGTTGTTGTTGTTGTTGTTGTTCTTGAAGTTGCTGAGTTTGTTGTTGTTGTTGTTGTCGTTGTGGCGGTGGCTGTGGCTGTGGCTGTGGTTGTGGTTGTCGACAGGCTTGATGCTTCATTGATGTCTGTGGCCAGCGGATGCATGGCTCCATGAGCACGTCGCATGCATGAGCATGTGCACACATACACATGGCAGGCATGCAACTGTTAGCCACACCACCAGAACCCCCCATGCCCCAGGGAAAACAGACACGTCTTCAGGTTCTGTTCGTTGCACGCTCACGTGGCGGGGCCATGGATGGTGAGGATGATGACGGCAGCAAAGGCACCTGCTCATGGAGGAGATGGCGAAGCCAAGCCGGCAGAGGCACGTGCTCATGGAGGAGGAGATGGTGAAGGCGCCAAGCCAGCAGAGGCACGTGCTCATGGAGGAGGAGATGGTGAAGGCGCCAAGCCGGTGGCTGCTCATGGAGGAGGAGATGGTGAAGGCGCCAAGCCGGTGGCTGCTCATGGAGGAGGAGATGGTGAAGGCGCCAAGCTGGTGGCAGAGGCGCGTGCTCATGGAGGAGGACATGGCAAAAGCGCCAAGCCGGCGGCAGAGGCTCATGGAGGAGATGGCGAAGGCTCACGTGGAGACGGAGCAGGTGGAGGTGGACCGGCGCCAGCCGAGATGTCGTGGTGGGAGTCTGGGTGGCAGGATGCTGCCGCTGATGTCTGGCCTGCTCACCACGGAGGCGCTCATCATGGAGGTGCTCAACACGGAGCTCATCATGGAGGTGATGAGCATGGAGGCGCTCATCTTGGAGGTGCTCAACACGGAGCTCAGCATGGAGGTGGACATCGTGGCGATGCGTGGCATCATGGAGGTGCTCAGCATGGAGATGACGGAGGTGGGCGTGCTCATCAGGGAGACGCTCATCGTGGCGATGCGTGGCATCATGGAGGAGGTGCGGAGCGTGCTCATCAGGGAGACGCTTCTGGTGGCGACGCGTGGCGTGGTGCTCATCATGGAGGTGTGCATCAAGAACCGGAGGAGGAAGAATGGCAGCCGAGCAGCGGTGTCAAGGCAGAGCCGGAGGAGGAGTGGGAAGACACGTGGTGGGCCCACGTGAAGGACGAAGAAGAGGAGCCGGCGGACGACTCATGGCAACATCAAAGACGAGCAAGAGACCAAGGAGAAGCCTCATGATGAGGCGGCTGCAGGTGGCTGGAGCACATGGCAGAGCTCGTGGAAGAGCAGGAGATGGGACACAGACGACGCATGGTCGTCCACGGACAAGGCCTGGTCATCCCCGGCACAGAACACGGACAAGGCCTGGTCATCCCCAGCACAGAACACAGACAAAGCCTGGTCATCGCCCGGGCATCGCGAGGGGCAGTGGCAGGGCGGCAAGAAGGGGAGCAAGGGCAAAGGGAAGCAGGAGGCGAAGGGGAAGGCCAAAGGGAAGCAACGCAAGGGGCACGGCTACTACATGGCAGACGGCTCTGGCTATGTGGATTCGTGGGGACGTCTGTTGCCGAAGCTTGCGCTGACTTTTGCAGGTTGTGATGATTTTATATTTGCGTTGGTTTCCCAAACATGTAGACAGGATAGAGGGTCGCAGCTTCAGCTTCAATGTGAAACACATGGCCAATCAATCAACCAATCAATCAACCACCCTATCAATCAATAAATCAATCAGTCAGTCAATCAATCAATCAAGCAATCAATCAATGATTCATTCAAGCCGTTCTATCGTTTGATGGTTGATCAGTTGGAGCAACGAAGGATCCAACAAGGGCGCACCAGAGCACGCCACCGCGGCGGCAATGCTGGTGCAATGGGCAAGGCTCTATCTGCCCTTGCCACGGCGGTGACGGTCATGGCAGATCACATGGGCCCAACATGACCCGCTGGCATTCATGCGCATGAGCCCAGCCACATGGCGAGCAAACTAACCATGCACAACTTCACACCAACCCAGCCACATGGCGAGCCAAATAACCATGCAACTTCACATCAGCCCAGCCACACGGCGAGCAGACTAACCATGCACAAGCCCAGCCATGTGGCGAGCAGCACTACACACGCACAACTTCACTCCAGCACATGCCAGTGGGTCACTTGGCCATCACATTTTGGCGGAGCACGCGGGCGCCTGATTTGCCGCCAGCATGATACGGTGAAGGGCCCCTCATGAAGTTTGGGACATGTGTTGATGACGGCTACGCAGGCGCTCGGATGTGCATATGTACAGCAGTTTTGGCAACTGGTTGCACTTGAAGCCTGGCAGAGCCATCTCAAAGAGACATCAAACAAAGGGGCACCATGAAAGGGCATTCCTTTTTTTTGAGCTGGACGGAGCCTGGCTTAGGACACGGAATGGTCACTGCATCAGGTTCAGTGACACGTCAGCCGCAAAGGGGGGGCGCGCAAAGTTTATCAATCTATAAAAAAACAGTTGGGGGGCAACACGTTTTTTTATAGATCGATAAAAAAAACACGATATTTCAATGGAATCAGCAATTTCCCATATAGATCTATAAAAAAAAGGAATCCACCTGACACGTTTTTTTATAGATCTATACAAAACACGACATTGACCATTGGAGCCCTGGCACCCCCTTGCATTTCTGTGGCGACTTGCGGCCTCCCCATCCGGTCAATCGTACCTCGATGCTCGACCGCTGAGCGACAAAAAAAACCGGTGATCCACATGCGCTGCAGTGGTGCCACGCGATGCGTTTGTCATTGGGGCAACTCCGAAATGGTAATCAGTTTTCGGTTCGTGGTTGTGGTGAAGTGGGACCTCCTTGGTTTAGCCTGATCGGCATGGCTCACGGCTTGGCAGATGCAGTTGCTTGCATGGATACGGATTGCTGTTCGTTGTGATGCCTCGCTCACTGACTACTCACTCACTCAACTCCACTCCACACCACTCCACTCCACTCCACTTCACTCACTCACTCACTCACTCACTCACTCACTCACTCACTCACCCACTCACGCACTCCCTCACTCACTCACTCACTCATTCACTGACTCACTCACTCACTCACTCACTCCAGCACTCAGTCACTCACTCACTCACTCACTCACTCACTCATTCACTGACTCACTCACTCACTCACTCACGCACTCACTCACTCACGCACGCACTCACTCACTCACTCACTCACTCACTCACTCACTCACTCACTCACTCACTCACTCACTCACTCACTCACTCACTCACTCACTCACTCACTCACTCACTCACTCACTCACTCACTCACTCACTCACTCACTCACTCACTCACTCACTCACTAGCTCACTCACTCACTCATGCACTCACTCACTCACTCACTCACTCACTCACTCACTCACTCACTCACTCACTCACTCACTCACTCACTCACTCACTCACTCACTCACTCACTCACCACTCACTGGCTCGCTCGCTCACTCACTCCCTTGCTCGCTCGTCTGCTCGCTCACTCACTGCTGCCTCCTTCACTTGCTCCCTTGCTTGCTCGCCTGCTCACTCACTCACCCACCCACCCACCCACTGACTCACTCATGCACTCACGCACTCACTCACCCACTCACTCATTGACTCACTCACTGTTTTACTGCTTCGCTGACTCACTGGCTCACTCACTCACACTGCCTCGCCTCGCCTCGCCTCACCTCACTGAGCTGACTGACCTGCTCCACTCTACTCCACTCTATTCTCCACTCCACTCCACCTCTCAGTCCGCTCCACTCCCCTCTCCGCTCCACTCCACTCACTCATTCACCCACACATCCACTGACTGACTGACCGGCTCTCCCTCACTTGCACACAGAACGCATGCGTGCATACACATCGTCATACATACACACACACACATACATACATGCATGCATACAGACAGACATACACAATGACATACATGCGTACATACATACATACATACATACATACATACATACATACATACATACATACATACATACATACATACATACATACATACATACATGCATGCATGCATGCATGCATGCATGCATATCATACATACACGCACACACACACACACACATGCACGCGTGCACGCATGCATGCTTGAGCGATTGAGCGATTGAGTGAGTGAGTGAGTGAGTGAGTGAGTGAGTGAGTGAGTGAGTGAGTGAGTGAGTGAGTGAGTGAGTGAGTCAGTGATTGATTGAGTGAGCCAGTGAGCCAGCGAAACAGTGAGACAGTTAGTGAGTCAGTTAGTGAGTCAATGAGTCGGTGGGTGAGCGAGTGCGCGAGTGCATGAGTGACTGCATGAGTGAGTGAGTGAGTGAGTGAGTGAGTGGGTGAGTGAGCGATTCCGAAACGTGGACCAGAAAGGGGTGGGGGTTCAGGGTCCGCCCACGTGTGGTGTGGACCAGAAAGGGGGGGGGGTTCAGGGTCCCGCCCAAAAGCCAAATGAGTGAAGTGGAGTGGAGTGGCGTGGAGTGTAGGTGATGCGAGGGGAGATAAGCAAGTAGTGAGCGAGTGACTGAGTGGGTGGGTGAGTAAGTGAGTGAGTGAGTAAGTGCGCGAGTGCATGAGTGTGAGTGAGTGAGTGGGTGAGTGAGTGAGTGAGTGAGTGAGTGAGTGAGTGAGCGAGCGAGCGAGTCGGTGAGTGAGCGAGTTAGTGAGTCAGTTGGTGAGTGATTGAGTGAGTGTGGAGTGGAGTGGAGTGGAGTTGGTGAGTGAGGGAGGGAGCGAGCAAATGAGTGAGTGAGCGAGTGAGTGAGTGCGTGCGTGAGTGAGTGAGTGAGTGTGCACACATACAGACATGCATTCATGCATACACACTTGCATGCGCACCTAGCCCAGCCATTGCATGCATGCGTGTGACGAGTTTGATTTTACACGATCGATCCCGTTGTGCCATTCGGCGCACATCATCACAAGAGTGTCCTGTTTGGAGCTTGAAGTCGAAATGGCTGGGGCACGCGTGCCTCGCCGGGCTGGGGCACACGCCTCGCCTTCATCGTGCCACGCAGCTTGCGCTCAAGCACCCACTCCGCAATTTGCATTTGGTGGGCGGCATGCCTGGTTGCACATGGGAGAGAGCCTCGGTGGCTCCAGAGTGGCGGTACCCGGGCTTTGTGCCGGAGGCGAAGGACTGGCAGGGCGTGAGCGACACGCACACGGACCGCCTCGAGACCCACACGCCGGTGTTCCTCAACATCGAGGGAGGCGTCATGACGGTGGTGCCGTTTCACTACGTGGAGACGATCCTAAGGCCGGGGCTGATCATGGAGGAAGAGATCCTGCGCTACAGGCACAAGGGGGCGCGATTTGATGACCTTCTCATCCGGCGTGCGCCTGAAGGCACCATTGTGGTGACCGGCTCCGATGGCACCATTGTGGTGACCTGCGAGCTGTGTAGGAGCCCAGACGGCCGGTTCGTGGCGCTCCAGTGGAAGCACGCCTTTACACAGAAACCGATCCTGACCAAGTTCTACGAAGCAAACATGCGGGTCACGAAGAGCCGTGCTGTCAAGGATCTTCAGGAGGGGGCAGCCCGGATGAATAAGTTCACGATGCAAACCAAGTTTGCTGTGCTGGGCTCTATGGGCTGGAACGGGCTCATGTGGGCTGGCGAAGACACAATTGACGGGTGTGCAGTTAAGAAGCGCAGGATGGATGCCCCGTGATGCTGATAGCACCCCGGCCGGCCTGCTTTTGACGCAATTTGATCTATGGTGCAAAAACAGTCGAACCCAGGGTTATTTGCAAAGCGTCACAGCGAACATGTGCTTCAGTTTGCATCCTCTTTGATGGCACATGATGTAATCTGCGTTGAGTCACTTGCGTCATTGCCTGCGTTGACAGCAAACATGTTTTTGAATCATGTGGGTGTTTGGAGCATGAGCAAACCTTGCCCTCGAGCTTGAGTCATTTGGGTTGCACGACTCGAAATGCAGCTGGGTTGTTTACTCGCTGCTTGCATGCTGGGCTTCTTGATGAAGCTCGCATGCAAATCACTCAGTCTTGCTGTCTGAGAGCGTCGGCTGTTCAAGCATCTAGGGGGTTGTGAGGCTTGAGACCTGCCGACATGGCCACGTCTGGCAGTGATTTGGTGAAGGACATGCGTCACATCCATGAGTTTCTTGACGCGCAGAAGAAGCTGGTGAGCGCTGAGACCATGGGGAAGATGCAAGATGGCCAGGCACACAGTTTTGCAAGGCAGCTGGAGAACAGCAGGCTGTCACTTGCAGATGCAGCCGCGCTTGCCAGCACGGTGGCTGAAGGCCCCTGGACAGCGTTGCAGGCGGCAATGCTGGGCGAGAGAATCAGCGCAGCGGCTGCGAGCGGTGTGACGGAGAGGCCTTCACGCCGACCCTTGCAGACGGTTCAAGGCTTCGCGTCCTTCCTGACGCAGAGCGACATAGACATGCTTGAAGACCAAGGTGTGCACAGCAGCGTGAAGTTGCAGTGCGTTGTGAGCCGATGCGTCGGACTAGGCATGCATTTGCCGAGCGAGCCGACTGTCAAACACATCATAGCTACCTGCATCGATCTCGGGCTGCAAGCAGCGGATTCTGCTTCGAAATGCCGGCTTCTGACTGAGTTCAAGACCCAGCTCAAGAGCAAGGTGAAACACGCTCCGAAGCTTCCGAGCCATCTTCACCTGGTCAAATATCCGGCAGACCCGCTTAGCCTGCCCGAGGCTTTGCGTTCAACGGCATATGGCCGCTTGACCGTTGTTCATCACATATGTTGCTTTGTCTATGGGGCGTGTGTGCGTGGTCCATTTGAGGTACAACTGTTTGATTCTTTTGCTTTGGATCCAACATGTAAATTGAGTTGCAAGGTCATGGCGAGGAGCCCAGCAACCTTGGCGGAGACATGGGGCTGTCAACTGGCAGCGTCCCGTGTCGCAAGACGTCCAAGTTGGTCCGGGGCGACAGCGACTTGAGCCAGCAGTCTGCAGCGCCCATGATGCAGATGCAGCAGCTCATGGCCCAAATGATGCATCATGTTATGATGCAACAGAGCGGAGCGCCAAGTGGAGCGCCAGGCGCCAGCCTTGCCAACTTACATGTCTTCAAGCTGAACAGGAGCAACAAGGCCTTAAGGAGCATCGCTGAGGAGCCCAGCGCGCAGTCACAGGCGAGCGCACGTGCCCAGCCGGAGCTGCAGGCGAGCGCAAGTTCCCAGCCGGAGCTGCAGGCGAGCACACGTGCCCAGCCATGGTTGCAGGCGAGCACAAGTGCCCAGCCAGAGTTGCAGGCGAGCGCAAGTGCCCAGCCGGCGGGACTGGCTAATCCGCTTTTCGACCTGGATGTGCCAGCCAAGCCGAACAATTTCCGACCGGAGCAGCAGTTCCAGATCATGAACGAGGCCTTCGACAGAAGGTCTGCCGCCAATAGGGAGAACTCTGGTGGCCCTGCAGGAGAAGATGGCTCCAAGAAGCCAGCGCCCAAGGGAAAAGCAAAGGCCAAAGCGAAGGCCAAGTCGAAGGCAGCAGCGAAGTGCACACCGATGAAAGTTGCCAAGCCGCAGCTGAAGCCAGCTGCGAAATCCACGCCGCCGAAGGTTCCCGGGCCGCGGAAGGCGGGCGAGGGCACCTTCTTCTGGAAGGACGGGAAGATTCACAGGAGATTCCCCAAGAAAAAAAGGGGGGGCGGGGGGGGGGGGGGGTCACAGGAGCGACCGGGCACAGTGCTGGAGAGTGTTCATTTGTAAGAGTGATCGGGTGGACAAAAAGGTCCCTTGGTGCGGCGATGAGACCGCATCCTTTCGCCGAGCTCTCCGGCTCATTGAGGGCCGCTGATGCTGGCTCATCATGAAGTATGGTTCTTGCCAAGATCCTATCTTGGCACTCTCGGGGTGCAGTTCGCTCTGCGCAGGGAATCATGTTGAGTGGATTTGCACCCATGGTGTTTTGAAAGTGCTATATAGGTTCTGAACTTGCCACAAAGAGTGATGTAAGCAACTATGCCTGGTTCCCTGCACGAACTGCTTTTGGGGGGGGGGCTATGTGTCACAGACACACCAATGGCAAGACTGACGGTTGAGTGAAAATGAGTGAGTCTGGCTATACACCTCAGACATGCGCCAAAATGGACAGTGGATCTGTCGTTGGTTTGAGGGAGCTTTTGTTTGTTGGTTTTGAATGGAAATCAAAAGGGATACACACACACATGCACAATGGCCTTGTCACGCATCTTGCTGTGCTTGCATCATTGCTTGATAGTTTTGATGATCCTGAGCGGCTGAGTCGTGATGCTAGTGTTTGGACTCAAGTCTCAACACTGCAAGGTCACATAGAAAAGCAACAGCTACACTATATGGGAAGGTACATCAGGAACACAAACACGAAAAGCTGGGCGCCCTATTGAGTGCTCGCTGTAGGCTGGGCTGTCAGCCCGCCGGCTACGCCATGTTGCGGTCATTGGGAAGGAGAAAATTTGTTTCCCAAAGTGCCCTTGCTACACTGCTGCAAGAAGTGGCAGCGTTACCGGAGCTGCCATCTGCCAACTCTCGATCCAGCATCAAGCGCTGCAGGGACGAAGGCATGACACCCCGTTTGGGAAGGTGCTGCTGACACATGAAGCTCAGCTGGCGCCAGAGACCGCGAGCAGCGAGCCAGAGATGGCCCAGCTTACGTTTGTCAACCCCCTTGCCCTCACCTACCATCTCTGCGCAACCTGTGACCAAGTTGCATCCCTGATGAGGGGTATGTTTGCCTGCCAGGCTCCTTCAATGGAATGCCCTTTTGGGATTATAGCATACGCAGACGAAGTTACGCCCGGGAATGTGCTGCTACCAAAGAATCCAAGAAAACTCCAATGCATATATTGGACCTGGAAACAACACGGCGCACAGCTACTCTCCCATGAACGGCTTTGGTTTGTGTTGGGGATTGCCAGGTCCGACATAGTCAGAAGGCTGCCCGGGAAAATGTCGGAGTATTTCAAGCTGGCGATGCGCAATTTCTTTGCGCCGACCGACATCAGGAACGGCATGCTGATCATGCTTCCAGACTCTGAGCGCAAGGTGCTGTTTGGCGATCTCAGCATAGTGCTAGGCGACGAAGCAGCACTGAAGGACATCCTTGACATGAAGGGTGCTTCGGGCACCCTCCCATGCCCCCTGTGTCGCAACCTGGTGAGTCACAGGTCAGACTTGGCAAGCTTTGACACCACTGGAAGCATGGTTGATTCAACGAACCTGGACCTTTCACTTGTAGAATTCCACAGCGATGCATCTATTCGGGACATCATGAGGTTTCTGAAGGAGAAAAAGGACTCTTGTACAAAAAACGATTTCCAGAAGACGCAACAGTTTACAGGGTGGAATTACAATGAGCGGGGCGCCCTCTTGTGCCAGTTGATTGATCTGAAGCCTGCATCCAGCCTCATGTGGGACTGGATGCACACGTATGTGTCCAACGGGGTGTGGAATGTGGAGGTGGGGCTTTTGCTTTCCAAGCTCAAGGTGCACGGCTTGTCCCAGCAAGATCTTCACAAAGAGCTACAAACCTTCGTGTGGCCATCCCATTTGGCAAGCAGCGGGGCAACTGGCAAGAACCTTTTCAAAAAGGAACAACATGGCGACGTATCCTGTGATGCGTCACAAGCTTTGTCACTTTACGGCGCATTGAGGTTCATCTTGATTGAAAGGAGGCGTTTGGGTGATTTGCAGGAGCTGGATTTGGAAATCACATCTTACATGAGCCTTTGCAAAGTCCTCGACCTCTTGCAAGATTTGAAGCGGCAAACGGTGCAAGCCTCAAGCCTGGAATACGCAATCCTCGCGCATTTGCAGTCTTTTCTTGATGCATACGACTCGGCAAAGTTTCACCCCAAACATCACTACGCAACTCATTTGGGACGCATGTACGCCTTTCACCGTCTTTTGGTTCCCTGCTTCGCCTTAGAGCGTAAGCACAAGGAGGTCAAACGGTACGCGACCCTGACTTCAAATATCACATCTCGTTGGGAAAGGGGCATTTTGAATGATGTGCTGAGTATGCAATTCAGCGAGCTCAACCAGGCTGATGCTGACCCTTTGCAGTGCGGATTGAGCAAGCCTGCCAGCCCAAGTGACAGCATGGCATCCACTTTGAGGGCTGCTTTTGGAAATGAAGGCCCTGTTCAAGTCTCCCGATCAGCAATGTACTTCCCTGGAGCGATGTGCTCAATTGGTGACGTGTGCCTTTTGTCCCTTGAAGGGGGGCAACATCTAGGCCAAATCCGTTTTTTCGCACAGATTGCCGAAGAGCAACCCGTGGCCTGTGTCCAAAAGTGGACAAGTTTGGGACAGAACCGATTTAGGGTGTCAAGCGAGGATCCTTTCCTTTGTGAGCTCCCTTGTATTATGGACACATGTGTGTACAGGAAACTGGGAGCCAATTTGGCTTTGGTGCCAAGCTCGTGCTGGCTTTCGTGAAAGAGTGCATCATCGGGGTCAAACAACTGAGCAACACCAGCAAACACAAACAAACAAGCGATACCATTTTTTGCAAATGAGCGATACCAGTGAGCGATACCAGTGAGAGCCAGGACTATGACAATGAAGGTCTGAAAAGCATATTTAAATGACAGAAAACGCCACCCTTTACCAAGTTTGCGTGTGCCCTGTTCAGGTCCCACAGCCCACCAAGCCAAGCCCAAACACTGCAAGAAACCCGTCCCCAAATATATATAGACATTTTGTTCCGAAAAGGGGCCGGTCAACATTATTGTGAACTGTATGTTTTTAGTAGGGTGCTTAAACTTGTCCATGTTCAGCCCAAGCTAGCCAACACAAGGCAAACACACGTTGTACCGTACACACACGATATTTCTACGTATACTTTAGTTATCTTCTTCTAGCCCTGCCGTCCTTTTCGGTCCTTGCCAATTTCATAAACAAGAACACATTTACCAAACAAACACCCCGAACAAAACCAATCCGACAGCGCCAATGAAGAGCCATTGCCCCACAAAAGCTTGATCTCAAAGCGCACTGTTTTGCGAGAGAAGCATGATTCCAAATTTAAATCAAGTGTCACTGTCATGAAATCAAAAAGGGTTCCATCATGTAAACACAAAACATGTGGTTTTGCGGTTATACAATACTATGGGACACGTACAGATATGTCTGTGTGCATTGCATGTGTTTCTGTGTGTGTAAATATTCAAATACATACCTTTGAAAGTTGCCCCCTTTCAAAACCCTCACCGTGCCCCCTTTCCCCCCTCCCTGGTCGAGCTCGCCTTTTGCCGCTCTGTGCGCAGGCTGCCCGGCGGCAGCCGCCCATTTGCTCGCAGGCTGAGGTGGTTGGTGCGTGGGTGGGGTGTGTGTGTGTGTGTGGGTGTTTGTGCTTTTGGGTTTTCCGGCTGAGGGTGTTTGTTTCTTGTAAAGGTGTTCTTTCAGGTGCGCTTGTGTGGTATATGTCAAGAGACGGCAAGGTGACGTCCCGTGGGACGCTGTGCACCGAACCCTCAAGCTTTAATACCAACCACGTAGAAAGGTGTATACGGACGATGCCGTTATAGCCGAACCCGTGTAAACGTTGTAAGGAAGAAGGAATGATAGTTACACCAGTAGTCCTGACAATGCGGCGCAAGCAGTTGTTTTGCTCTTAATGCCGATCACGTAGGTCTGCAGTCACACATCAGATCTTGAACCTCAATTGTGTCTTGAGCCAAATGGCGATCAATGGAACCTGGGAAGCAACACCAACAAGGACCTCAGAACTGCTACCCAATTTCGGCACGGGGCCTAGAGGGTTTTAACATCCCCCATTTGGGTCGCATTGTTCATCATGCGGTCCCAACACCACAAAACGTTCCACTGGCCACGGCTTCAACTACGAAATCGTGTCGTGCATTCTTTTACTTGCTATCACTACACCGTTCATTCGCTGTGAAACATGCCGGGTTCGATTGTAAAAGTGAAACATTCATCCTCCAATCGAAGCACTCATCCATATGCAGGTGTATATAATACACTGTGGCCACTTCACTTGACCGCCAGTGAACATTCCAGCCGCCGCATTTGCGCATCGCGCAGCTGTCATCCATAAATGGGTTGGCCACAAATGTCCACCATGCGCGCCCGCTTGTGATCGGTCTGCATATCTCCGGCAATGAAACATCGGTGAGTAATCAATGCAAATCATAGCCATTCCAGATACCATGGACAATGCATAAATAATGAAAAGATATCATCTATAAGGTAATAGTTCCATCCATGAATATCCAGAGCGTCATAGTCATCGGAATATGTAACCATGTACACACCCAATCATCTTGGACACATGAATATAAATCTTGACATAAGTCGTTCCACCGAAACAGTGTCGATGTGACGCAAGTAACAGATGGGGACTGGCCCACATCGTACCGCAATCATCATCTTCACGAAGCATACCTGTCCCCAATGGACAGCCTATGGGTACGTCGGCGGAACTCCTCGTCCAAGTTCTTCTGGGCTTCTCGTGCCCGGACACACTTCTTGTTGTCGTCCTCTGGCAACCAGTGCCCTTTCCGAAGGCACCAATCCAGCAGGGGTGTGTCGCATTTGTTCGGGTCGATGGCCGAGATGATGGCGCTCACGTTGACCGCGTAACCATGCTTGCCAAGGTTTAGGCCATCCCTCACGAATGATATATACTTGCAGTTGAAAGCTAGTGCAAAGCATCTGAAAATAATATCACCCACCGGGTGCACTCGGTCCTTGACCAGGAGCTTCATTTCTTCCTTGGTGACGTCGAGGATTCTTGCTGCAATCCACAGCTTGTAGAATGTGTATAGTCCCTCGCATTTGTTCACCATCATACGAATATATTCGTCACGCTCCTCGACCGATCGGAAGGCTCTCGTCCGAACATTCTCCGATTGAGAAATCTTCGTTATTGTTGATGGCAAAAGTATACCTTCCTGATCATGCTCAGTGATGTTGGGGTACCTCCTGAAATCATTGTGATACGGGCAGCCCGGATTCCCTTCGAGTCCGGCATTCATCGTTCTCTCCTCACCACCTTCAAACATCCCCCACATCTTGGACAGCTGGAGTGCGATAAATCCTGCCATGTACTGAGCCTCACGCGGCTCGTCAAGGCGGATCGCCATCCGTTGGGAACTTATAATGTCCCGTGACGCCAGATCGGTGTCGCGGTAATGCCAACCGCCGTCTTCTTCTTCTGACGCATAGCCGGATGTATATCCTTGCGTGTCCATGTCGTCATCTTCTCCCGGAACTTCCTCCGCTTCGTCTTCATCCTCCTGTGCTGCCGCATCGTGGTTAGCTTCTTCCTGTACACGCCTGGCATCTCCAGAGACGTTGGGGTTTTGGTTGTCCTCCTCGTCATCGGATTTGATGTGAATGTAGTATCTTCCGATGGAGATCAGTTGTGCCTCGCACTCCAGGCATAAGCAGAAGCAGGTGGGGATCGCGGTCGCGCATGATGGACATATCCGGCACCTCAGTCCTTCCCATGTCTCATCATTCAGGATGACGACTTTGCTGACTTCGTCCCGGACCTCGTTGACCCGTGCGTTGAACTCTTCCATCTTGTTGTCTCGATAGAGTTCGCAGGCACGATTAACCATGTCAACGATGTAGTGCAGATTATCGGCACCTGTCTCAGTCTCCGGCATCCTCTCGCTGATCTTTGCGACGTTCTGGAGGAACATCGCAGCCGACTCTTGGGAAGAGTTGACAAAGCCAGGGCAGATCTCGTTCTCCACACACTTCGAATACGCCCTCTTGATGTCAGCGTACTCCAGGCGTTTCCCTCCGTTGCTTTTGCCAATCCAAATGGACTTGACCTCATAGAACGGGATCACGTCAAAGACCATGAAAGTCCCATTAGCCGCGACTCCAGCCCCATACCGCGCGAGGGTTGCACTGGGAATATCGATGATCGCAATCGGATCCCCTCTCCTCACGTTCCGTAGCGTTGTCTTCGTCGCCACGTTCATCTCATCCCATGGAGCAAACGCCCCGAAGTGCAGCTAGCCTGTTGCCGCCATCGATTCCGCCGGGGACTAACCCACAGCGTACGATGCTTGGCAGGTTTTCCACATACGTCACATGGAATGCTCCTCCGAGAGAATCACCCATTCTTGCGGAATACCTATTCGCCAGTGCGGATGAGCTCATGAATCAAAAATCACTGTGACCGGTTGTGACTCGGATGCACCAAGGTCTGTACCATCCATCGCATCTGTTGAACATCCTGTCGATGTCGTCCCGATCCACGCCAGCCTTGGTCATTTCCTCCCTGGCTGCCCTCGTGTCGTTCGGGTTCATGATGCTCGGGAACCTTGCTGCAAGAACCTGGAATCTCGATTTCTTGCTTCCGGATTCCTGCCACTTGATCACCTCCATGATGCCCATGTATCGTTTCGCTCTCGTTGTGTGTGGTGGGAAGATGTCGTTGTTCCGGTCGTCAATGACAGCATCAATGTCGACCCATCCACCCTCGTCGCACCTGAAAGCACTTCCTCGGCAATTGCCGATCTTGTGTCGAAGGACTCTGCATAGGTCGTGAGATAGCTGGTTTGCTTGGTCCCTTGTAGGAAATACCGAGCGATCATCACCAATCCTGCATAGTGGAGCACCGTCGAAAGGAGCAATGCAGAAGTTGACACTCTTGCCAAGTTGCATCACGTCCACTTGCTCAAGGATTGCACCTTTGGGAAAGTACCTGGGGTCAACAATAGACGCGTGTGCCCGTGGCATATGCACATCAATCAAGTCGCCGTACTTCGGGATGTAGCACGGGATGGTGTCGCATCCCATCTCAAGCGTCTTCTTGAATGTCCTGCTGTCCCCGCACGGGTTGTATGTGAGGTCGACGCCACCACATTGTAGCTCTCCTCCCTCAGCCGTGTCAGCCATCTCCACCAAATTAATAGTGTAGCTGTACATCTCAATTGTTTCTTTCCCTGCTTTTCCTCCTTTCTTTCTTTCCTTGGACGTTGATGAGGACGGCTCCTCCGTATCCCCCATGTCATCATCAGATGAAATAGGGTCACTGCTGAGTAGCTCACGGAGCACCTTCATCGCCTTCTCATTTCCAGCAGCCTCCTC